GGTCATGTACAACTTCTGCACTGACTCAATACATGGCAGATCATAGCAACATGATGAATAGTTTTCTTCTTTTTTCCCTAATAGGCATGCATCCGCAAAAACATACATGAACACCTTCAAATGTTTTTTTATTGTATGAACATTTCTAACAAGCATTAAGATGATGAAAATCACTCATGAAATGCCTCATGACATGACAAAACCTGAAGCATAAGAAAACAAATCAAAAGGCATTAATGAAGAACTTTACCTGGTTAGATAGAGGGATTTCCCGTGAGACATCCCAAACAATGATTGAATTTTCACTAATATTGCTTTTGGATACATCACTTGATGAAATTATTCGCTTTGCGTCAACTGTAAATTCAGCATCCAGGATAGGACCAAGATTTCGCACATATTGATGGACCACCTTCCCAGCTCTTATATCCCATATTTTAAGATGACCTTTCGAACCTCCAGAGAGGAAGAGATTGTAATTATCTGGATGAAATTTTACCACTCCAACAACTTGATCCTCATTGAAAACCTGAGTTTCTATTCCTTTTTCAACATCAATCAACCTTGATGTGCTGTCATATCCACAAGAGAGCACAAATAAACCATGTTGTGACCACTTCACATCTTTGACAGCCGCATGGTGACAATTAAGGACACGTGCTTTCTTCTGATCTCTGCTCCAGACATTCCATATGCAGACAGTTTGATCCATTCCGGCAGATGCTAGAAGGTGAGCTGCATGGTGAATAGTGTACATGAACATCATGAATACACGTATGCTATTGAATCATCAAAGTACCACACATCCGAAAATAAACAGTAAACTTAATACAAGTTCACAACTAAATGTTTACATCAAGTAATCTAGGAAGGTATTGACCCACATCATTGTAATAAAGTGAAAATTATTGAGCTTTGTTTTCAAAGCATTCTTGGTTTTTGAATACCTAAAGCAAAAGTTTTTCATGTTTTTTGAACAGAGTAAAATTAACCCTTTTTTTTTTCCTAAGATGGCCCAAAACTTCTAACATTTTCACTTTAGCCATTCGATTTTTCCAAAAAGTTTTAAATTTTTTTTTACGAAGTCTTGATTCATTTTGAAGTTGAGTAATTAGTTCTTTTCCTTATTGTTTTGGTTAAGGAAAAGAAAGCAAGTATCTATCTGATCCTTCTTTCGGTAAAGCATCTCCCCATTTGGAAAGAGTGTCCATCTTTATTGATATCACAAGTAAATATACAAAGTACACCAAGACACAAGCAAATATTTGGAGCAATCAATGTAAACTGATGGTCCAGTCTCATTCTAATAAATACATAAAGTGATGCAGTACATTTCACTGTGAGGTCAAATTTGAAGGGATTTGAAAACCACAAGGGAGTTCCGAATCTATTTCAACATCAGAGGCAGGAATTTGGATAAATATGAATATGGGAAAAAGGACTAATATGAAACAAAAATCAATAGCTGTGATTCCACTTACCATGACTTGTAGACCACTGTACAGCATTAACTGATCTTGTGTGTCCATCAAGAACTACAGAGAGCCTTTCCGGCGTATGGCTCAAGTGTCCATGGACTTTAGTTTGATTTCTCAAAGCTGACAAAATATTATGTGGCAGAACTGAATCCAAAATGTTCCCTAAAACTGACGAAAAAAGACTTTACTCCATTAGGTTGCAGATAAAACTCAACTTGAATGCAGAATTCAGAGAAGTGATAACTACTGCACAAAAATATCATAAATTTGCACAATAAGAGAAGTTGCCAAGAAGTTCCTAGTTGCTTTCATGTTAGTAAATCTTCATATGCCTCCTTTGACACTTTGCATGACAACTTTAGTGACATCATCTCAAAACAAAGGTCTTCCTCACAAAGACATCAATTGCAATAAAAAAGTTGATGATTGCTTAAAAAACTTCTTTCACTAGGGTGAATGTTTGCCAAATGTCAAAAGCTGGGTCCAGTAAATTTTTATACTGAGCACTTTTCACACTAAATCAGCTGTTTAGATGATGTAATATGAATCGAACTGCAAGAGAATAAAAAGCAAAAGTTTGCTAAACATATGTGATGAGTGACAAGAAGATAAGCCCATAAAGTTCACTTGCTATTTCCAATCCTACCCGTATTTGAGTAGTAAAGGGATTGCTCCGGAGTTTATTGAAGTATGACCGAATTCACAAGCCAAATTAGTCATTTTCTCAAATGGTTCTAAATTATCAGCTACCATTCCACTGTCAAGCCCACTTCCTACAAACTAGGTTTCGACAAATCCACCACAGATTATAACTTATCTGGTTATGGTTTCCTTTTGGTTTCCATGGACAGTAGCCTCCTAACTTGGGTAGTTACTCTTATTCTTAACAAACAGCTCACCAAGGCTGGCTAGCAGCTAAGCGAATGGAGTAGTCATCTCAAGTAGATTGCTGATAGTATGCATAAGTTTTAATCTTATATACATTACACAAGAAGCTTCGGGTTACAAGTTTTTCAAATTTTATCTGGTAACGTAATAGTGAAGCATAAAACAATCAGCAATATAAAGGCGGCTGGTTATTTCGGGTTTCAGTTGTAATAAGCAATGATAAGTCAAGAGCAGGCACAGAGTTCCTGGAAGAGTCAGTCTTCATTCCTCAATGCATCAATCTGCCAAAAAACCATCAAAGATAATCCTCTCTTTTTCTCCCCCTCTTATATTATGCTGTTCTCCTCCACCAGGATCTGTTTAGTTCCCTAGTTCCTTGGATTAAGAAATGAGCTCTTAATATGCTTCTCGTCAGTAATAAACAACAGCTTGTTCTTTCACACAAAAATAAAAGTGCTTTTTTTTTCTTGGCAGCAATTACACATTTTCAATTCATCAACTTCTATTTTGTTATGATAGTGGTATCACATCAATTTGCGAGCACTTCGACAAATCCACATATAATCCTGTTTACCAAGGTTAGAGCAAATGAGCTCACACTTAGTGTATCACCTGTAAACTGAACCTGAATCGCTAGGCTGTAACTCCTACTGCCATGTCTCAAGCATTAAACCATCCCTATTGCGACAAATTCATCAATTTCTTCGAAATGGAAAGGAGCACAGTGAACCTTTTGGGCATAAACAATATTTCGGTATTTCTTAAATATTCACAAATACTAGTTTGACTATGAGTATTTGCAAGTAATTGAACTTCAGGTAAAATACTGAATTATTGGTTTGAACTAGTATTCAAGTAAAATAATACTCCCTCCTCTGTTTTTCTTTTTAGCCCGTCCAAAAAAGAATGACATATTTCTATATTTAGTAACAATTTAACTTTAAAGTGCCTATTTTACCATTAATAAAATAATTTATAGCCCCACAAATAAATTTGAAACCACAAGTTCCAACTTTTTTTCTAATTAATCTTTGTGCTCAATCAAATATAATCACATAAATTGGGAGGGAGCGAGTATTGATTTTCACTCACAAACCTTCAACTTTAACAAACTTTATTTTTTGACACGTGAATTGCATGTCCAAATTTTAACATCCACAAACCTGGTGAAGTATTAGGGTAAGGCGGTGTGCTGGGCTCGTCTGGAACTTTTGCAGCTGAACCCATAGCAGCTCGCTCTCGCTTAGAAATGTACCTTCCTGGAAGAGAAACTTCCGCTGTAAGATTCGTGTTTGGATTGGACCTGTAGATGGGCAAAGGATTGTTAACTCGGTTACAATTCTCGAACTTGGCCCGTTTCTGTGGTGGCAATATGGGTCTAGAAAGTTCCTTTCCACCATTGTCGTCTTCTTCATCAGATGTTCCGCCATAGACTTTACACAACAGGTCCATTAGTTATTCTGGAGCTCAAAATTAATTAATCAAACTAATAAATCAATCGAACTCGAACCCTAATTGATGCAAGTCGAGTTAACACTTCAATGGCAATGAAATCGAGCTAAACTTAGGGCAAAACTAAGATAATTCTTCAATTGATATTACTAAAGTTATATTACAGGGTAGTATATAATAGCGCGAAATGATCTCGTTGCATCCTAATCAACAAGGATAGAATGGGGAAATAACCAACAACTTAGGGGACCTAATTGTAATAATAGAAACTACTAATATTATTCTCGATGGACTGCAGTGTAAGGAAAAATAACTTTTGGGGCCTGAGTTCCTGCTTTTAGTTATTACAGCAGCATGTTTGGTCTTTAAGAAAAATAATCTAGGTAAAATTACATTGTATAGCCCTCCAAAATATAATAATCGATAAAATATATAATATATATATATATATATATACTTTTTTTATACTTAACCAATATACATTTTTTGTATATTTAGTTGGCGGATATAATTATTTTTGGCCGATCGGCCAAATATATAACTTGCCCTCTAATCTATATCAGTTCAGTTGCATAACACACAATCATGGTTGACCATATCGTAAATCAAGTCAAACCTCAACTATAACACGCCACAATAACTTAAACTTTATTTTACTGCTTTTTTATTACTTTTTGTCTATTATTACTTCGATTTTGTTTGTTTACTATTGCATTTATTCCGCTCCAAATGTCCTTTCCTCTGTAACAACAAACAACAACCCAATATAATTCCACTAGTGGGGTCTGGAGAGGGTAGTGTGTACGCAGACCTTACCCCTACCCTGGGGTAGAGATGCTGTTTCCGATAGAAACTCGGCTCTATCCCTCCAAGAACTTCCCACCTTGCTCTTGACGTGACTCGAACTCACAACATCTTGGTTGGAAATGGAGGGTGCTCACCATTAGAGCAACTCACTCTTGTCGTTGTCCTTTCCTCTAAATTGATGGATTTTTAGCATCCACTATCGCGATGAAAGAGAAGGATCATTGTCCATTGACATCAGAGTAACAGGAGTTTAACTATAGTGATTTAATTGAATTTAAATATAGATACTTCAGTATTGGAACGCGATGTACGAGTCTACTATAGCATAATGAATAATATAGCCGATTCCAACTAGTTTGTGCCTTTGTGAGATCATTTGATCGAAGTTGAATCTCATTTGATGGAAGTTGCCCAATATAACATTTTACATTACATGCCCTTACTAGAAAGGACAGAGTATCACATAACTATGGTGTAGATAAGAGAACGACAAAATTACACGAAAGGGGTCTGCCATCAAATGGAAACATTAAAAAAAAAATGGATCTGAACAATGAAATAATAGAAAAAATATAAGTGCTTCTTCATCTTTGTACTGCATCTATCTGTCTGTGTATAGCTAACTATCAAGTATCAACTGGGATGGGCTACAATGTATTGGCCTACTTGTAAATCCATTCATTTGCACGGCCGCCAGATTCGTCCATATCTATGAAAATGCTCACTGCCTGTGGTTTATAACAAGAGAGAACAAGATTGAAAGCACACTTAGATGAACATTTACGTCGGATTGGCTGAAAAATTCAGACGAGTGACTCAACATCTGTCAACATAACCACCTTTGAAATGCAAAATTTGATATTATCTTCCTTTAGAGATGTGATTCATAGACGTCACAATTGCTTAATCCGAGAGTTCTTATAAGCTTATGATAGAGGTTTATGCAAAGCCTTAATACGACTAGCAAACAATGAGAGTAATCTTTTATTGTTGGAATCCTATATCATATGCATAGGATAACTGACTGAATAATAAGTGTTTGTTTGGTTTGGATTCAAAAATAATTCATGATTAGTTAGATAAGTAATAACTGATTAAAATTTTATCAATTTCTCTAAAATATAGCTGGCTATTTGTTAAGATTTTAAAGGTGATTCTTTTCAGAATAACCAAATAGTGATGCAGGTAATGAGATTGATATAATCAAAAGTTCAGAATAAGATGGCCTCAAGTATCAGCTAGAACTAATTTACCTTCCCTATACGAGGCCGCTCTTTCAACTTCTCAAGGCTATTTCGAACATGCGAAACAGCTCCCCAACATTTCAATGTGTTTGCCACATCATCTAGCCTCAGTAGGTACTCTTCTTCAGTTAGTGGAAAAGATCGCTTTAAAACAGAAGCATGAAGGCACATTAGATGGAAATCACGGAAACAATTTAGTATTCTATATTGATTCTCAACACATGCTACCACGTAAGATGCATGATTTGTGTTTTAACAGATTTCAAAGGATTTGAAAAAAGGTTTTTTAAAAAAGGTCACTCGAACATACTATCTCGTTTCTCTCAACTTCTCACGGCAAGTAATAAACTTCATTTCCAAAGCCAAAAGGTTAGTTAATTTCTGAGTTCGACATTTGCTTTACTTGATCACTGCATAATGACGAGTATAATAACAGACCCAAGTCAGTCCAACTATTTAGTGAATCGGCAGTATCTAATTAAGCTAAAAAATTTATCAGCACCTTATCTAGTATATCAGCAGTATCTAATTAAGCTAAATTTAGAAGTTCTTCTCTCGGTCATTAGGTCAATGTTAACTGTTCAAATTTTCCCCCACTTGAAAGTGATTCTAATATAATTTAAGGAGATTTCTGCTCAATATCATTCCAAGTAATCTCCTATAATTTACTCCTCTTTCTGTATTATAAGATATATTCATCTTCTAAAACACTCGAGTAAAGGACTAGAAAGGAAAGTGCAGCATCACATCCGATATCATGCTTCTGACATGTTCCGTTAAATATCCCAACCCCAATTATGACAAGAAATCAAGACGAAAACTAAAAGGAGGAAAGGACAAAATGCAAAGTCATCGGTGAAATTTAGTTTGTTGGATATAAGATCTGAAGCATCTGAAGAACAAAGAAATTCAGCCATGGGTTTCAACGATTAGAGAATATTGAAGCGGATTTGGATCTTTAAGATGTTCAGTGTCTTTAGAGTGCTGAGATCTCCCAAGTGGAAAGTATAAGAGAAATAAACATTGATTCTTCACATACTGAACCTATGTCATGTTACACGTAGCTAAAATAAATTTGCTTTAGAGTTATCTATCACACTGGGAACATTTTACAAAATATTCATCAATCAAATGGAAGAAATAATTTAATGACAACCACCAAGTTCATTATGGAATGCTAGAGATATCAGCTCACCTGCTCCCTGTATTTCCACATAACGTTTAACGCAAGAAGATTTTTCCCCATGAATTCCTACATAAAAGGCATATAGAGAAACTAAGTTAAGCATCTAAATGATGTTATAGATTAACTGCAGAAAACCTTGCAATATCAATTGGAATTGTTTGAACGCTCTTTCTCTAGTCAGCTTTAGTGGTTAAATTGTCTTAAAAGAGCTGCCCAAATAATAAAAAGGTCATCTGAGTAACAAGTATAGATTGGATACCAAAAACTCTAAACCTAATAGACATAACTTTCTTTTGACAAAGAACTTTTAATTGGACTTGAAGCCAACAATATCTTTTAGTTGTTAATAGCATTAAACCGTCCAATAGATTTTTGAAAATTGAAATTATGGAGAAGTTGCATCTAGATCTACTGTCAATCAAATAAGTGTAAAAGTTATAGATAGATCAGAAATGCTTTTTAAAGAATAAGAAAAGCAAGTACCTTCTTAATCAATTGAACATCATAGGACCTTCCATATTTATTCCTTATCAGAGCTGCAAGGTCTATTCCACTAAAAGCAGAGTCATCTCGCCCGATGATTCTTTCAAGATTATTCCTTAAAATTTCACTATTTACCTGACAAACTAAAAATTAGGATGCTTGTTTGACATTCAGACAATCAGAGACATGCATAGACACGAACAGCCGTATAAGTATATGTTGTGTGCATTATATTCTATATCCAAACATCTCTTTATGATTTTTTTTATTTAGCATTCAAATAATTGAAGTGTAATTAACAAGTATAGGAAGCCAAGCAATGATGGAATTGCAACAGCAAGGGCATTTTTAACTTACAGATCCAGTTTCACTTTCTGTCGGTTTGTTACTATCTTCTGAGTCATCCGGATCCTTTGCATCACCAGTTGCAGCAGAAAAAATTGACCAGTTTTTTCTAGTATTTAGGTGGCGATAGCTAATAAACTTCTGACCTTTTGAAGGAAGCAATTCTTTCCAAGAAGATTCTACGTCTGTATAACGAAAACATGAAAATTTGCAACTTCTTTCCTTCAAAATATGCTCTGGACCTCCTAATGAACAGATACGAGGGTGCGTCCCCAGAGAACTCGTCATTCCAAAAAGATACAATCTGTAATTCCAAAAGACATGAATGACCGGACATCAAATTTAAGCTTGTGTTTGTGTAGCATAAACAAAGTTATCAGAACGCACAAGATAGGACAGTTGGTTAAAGTAATTGAGAACTAGTAGCTTTACCAATTCATTATGTTAGTATATAATAACTTTTTACGATAACAGGTTTGTGCAGAATTATTTCAGTTTCATAAAATCTAACCGCCACATGTTGAAAACAGGTACCATATAGAACTAGAGGGCTTTAAGATGCAATTAGGCCATACCTCAATGTCTAAGTGAAGAAAAGATTTTTTTGGCTTAATCAAACGTTGGCACAATAAGCTCATATTAGTCAAAGTATTTGGATACTTTTACACTTTCTTGATTCATACAGCCAAGAAGTTGTAGATATTTCGACAAGAAGAAACTCTGGACTACTCAGTATTGACTCATGAAAAGAATCATCTTTAGGTTACACTAACTATGTGTAAGTCTAAAAATGATTCACCCTATGTATCAAGAAGATGTTAGTCAGATGTCATACACAGCGATTTTCATGCTTATTATTGTATCCTTGCACCTCCATCCAACACTTTGTTCATATAGACATATGCTATATACAAAAGCTTTGACAACTTTGACAACCATAACACACACCCAATGTCCAATACCTGTACTTAATTCAAGCTAGTACCAGGGCGGATGTAGAGTGTAAGGTATGGGTTCATCCGAACCCAATTGCTTTGGCTTGGACCCTATATATGTATTTACAAATTTGCTAAATAAGAACAAATAATTGATTTCGAACCAAATACATGAAATGAGTTGTGGTAGAATCTCCAACTCAAATCTATAAAGTTCAAATCCTGGATCCACCTCCAGCTATAGCACAGACTCAAACATAAGGTTCACTGAAAAATCTGATCATAAACCACAGCTTCTTTAAGAAAAATGTATACGATCAACTCATTCTACAAGGAACCCACCCTGCACCTTCTGGATAAACATGAACTAACCATGGAAAAGTTTGTTCCTCCAAACTTTTCTTGCTCTTTCATAAAGTAGGACGCTGTAGCCACTTCGATTTACTCATTTCTAGGCTAATGTATATCATTCGATTCATCATCAAGTTTCCCTTATAGTTATCTTATGAAAAAAAGAAGCAGCTATAGCGACCTTCTCCCAAGAAACACTTCCAATATTTCCTACATCAATCAATTTTTGCTCTACTCCTCCATATCAACATGCCATTATCAGGGGCGGACCTAGCATATAAGTTATGAGTTTATCTGAACCCAATAACTTTGAGTTAGACCTTGTGTATTAGTCCAAAAATTCACTAAATAAGTACAAATAATTTATTTCAAACACATAAAGTTCAAATTCTGGATCATTGTAATCTACACATAACCTGGTATAATACAGAGTACTTATATAAGCTCTTTCTTACCAATATAATACACAACCCCTTTACAAACACTAAGTTAGACCAACACCTACAAATTATTCATCAAAATTTCCCCAAAAAAAGGGAAATTCAGAAATTAAGATTATATTCAAGATACATAACTGAATAATATTGACAAATAAAGATAAAAAAAGTTGGGAGAGGAAAGGACCTGGTGTAAGCAGCAGAGTCTAGCGTTTAGCTTTCAAGCTGTGTTGTAGTGAGGCCCAAGAAAGAAAAGGAGTTAGTTAAAAGGCGTAAGAGCTTTAAATTATGGTTGCTTTTGCTTCTACAACTAAAAATGAAATGGAAATTGTTTTCTCCTTTGTCACATGTGGATGTGGAGCAAAATGGATATGGACTCTAAAGTCTTATGGTGTGAGATCGTTCTCCCTTTTATTTTCATAGAACTAATTAATATAATTGTTATTTACACTAATATTTGGTTTTGTGTAAATATTAAGTGCAAATAAATATTTATCTTGGACTCGGTGTTTGCATATACATTTTTATATTTTAATTGTGTTTAATTGATATGTATTTTCAATTTAGTTTATAACTACTAAGGTTAAACAAGGAATGTGAGTATGACAAAATTTAATTATTATACATTTGAAAAAATAAATGAGCTTTGTGGAGATATTTTATAATGCATATATTAATAACACGAGGGAACTAGATATTATGCTGAGATTAATTTCCTCTTTTTCCAGTAAGATGGATTTCAGTTTAATTATTTCACTAGAAATTTTCCTTTAAATTTGAAGATAAGTGACTTTGAATTTTTGCAATTATAAATGGAAAAAAGGCCTCCCGATCATCAGGGGCGGCCCAACCTCATCGGAGGCCTAAAGCAAAATCTTAATAAGAGGCTTTAATATATATATATATATATATATATATAATTTAATGAACATCGTTTTTAAAAAAATTAGACAAGTGAGGATGTGGAATTAAAAAAAATGAGAACTTAGTTTTATAAAATACAAAAAATTAAATGAATTTAACGTTGATTGCATCACAACTGACATGGGAGAACCCAGAAACACACAAGTGACTCCTTTTTTTTTAGTAAGTCCCTTTCTATATTTGGTAACAATTCAACTTTAGATTTTTTTTTACCATTAATGATTTCTAGCCCAAAAATTTTTATGATTTATTTAAGATTACAAGTTTCAAAAGCCTTCATTTATTTCATAAAATTCATGTCCAGTCAAACACTTACATATAAATTGGGACGGAGAGAGTATAATTTATGTAAGAAAAATAAATAACAAGTTAGATTATTAGATATAGTTAGGTGACCAACTAATGAATATAGAAATATAATTAAGTAAAAAAAGTAAAATAAGATTGACAGAAAACTATTTTAGTTATATTAATTAGAGGAAGAAATCGAGTTATTAAAAATTAATATGACAATAAAGAAATAAATTTATCAATAATAAAAGATAATTATATACTACTATATATAGAAAATACTAGTAATTTTGGGGCCCTTAAATATTTGGGGCCTAAAGCAAGTGTTTCACTTGCTTTAGGGTTGGGCCGCCCCTGCCGATCACTTAAAATTGTACCTGATTGTCAATCCGGTAAACAAACTTATAATTTTACCATTTGAACACTTTACTTGACGGAATGAATATTAATAAATCACTTTGACCGTTGAATATGCTTATGTGGCAGTGACATAGGTAATATGGACAAAATGTGTGTCAATCACGCATAAAATACGCGTGAACAAAATAATCTGATTTAAAATAAATACTAAAATCAAAAAAAAAATTAAAAATTACAAAATGAAAAAGAAAAGGGAAAAATTGACCCCTCATGTACTATTTTTCTTCTTTTCACCGGCAACCCCTCTGTGTTTATCTTCGCCAATCCACTCCTTATTTTATCCAGTTCTTTTCGTTCTCTTTCAAATTTTTCTCATCTCATTTTCTTATTCTTTATCAAATATAGTGAGTGGTTTGAGGAAAGAAAGGTTATGAGTTTTGAACTTAAGCAAGGAGAGAGCACCTTAGAGTTTTCGGCCAGATTCGATCTGAAGGCGTGTTATTTTATTTATGATTTGGGACTTTTTGAAAAAAAGATGTAGTCATTGGTTGGTCGCCGACGAACTAGAGGTGGCAGCCATGAGTTTTACTGGCGGTCAAAACTTATATCCCTAATTGAATTTAACAAAATTAAGAAGAGAAGTAGGAAAAGGGATGAAGGAAGCCAACTAATTTCTTGGATTTGGGATTTGTTGGAGGCTTTTTCGGTAGTCTATTAATTTACTGGTTTGGCGGGTTGGGGGAGGTGTTTGAGTGGAGAAGACAAGTAAAAAATAAAATAAATTTTTGATAAATTAATTTTAAAAATGGGACCCACAAATAACACATGTCACACAATAAATAATCTATCATATGACGTACTTGATATGTCATCTCAATTGATATACACGCTCGGTTGGATAGGTTTATTAGTATTTATTTCGTCATGTTAAAGTGTTCAAATAGAAAAATTGTAAGTTTATTTACCGACATGTCAATCAGGTGCAAGTTTAAGCAGCCAGGTGGCCTTTTTGCCAGTATAAATTGCACCTAACGTGGTACTTTTGAAAAGAAGGGAATAATAAATTGCAAATAATTAAGCCAGTTTAAACCCGAGATCTTATGACTTAGAAAATCACATATTCTATTTTGTTGTCACTTAAATATGAATATGAGATTTTATGATTTTGCTTCCACTTCATTGCCACACCTTTAAAAAATTTAGGTACTCCCCTCTTCTTCTATTTTTCCTTTTGAAAATGGTCCCATTATTCATATTATCACTATTTGACATTTCAATGAGCTCTTTTTTCTGGTGAAGAAAAAAAAGAGAGAAAAAAGCTCTTTTTTCTGAAATTATAATGTTTTAAAAGTTTTTTTTTCCGCAATGTTTTTAACATTTTAGTTATTCTTTACCATTTTTTTAATTATACCTCGTACTCTGTATCAAATGCAAAAGAAGTATATTCTGTTATAAGAAAAATCAAATTATGGTGGATGTCTACTCTTCCTCCATGATCTTCTCAAATGCTTAATGACATAATGACATATTTCTATGCTTAATGACATATTCAATGACATATTTTTCATCACTTTTCATGCCTATATAAAGGCCTTATAATAGATAGGAAAATACACACAATTGAAGAAGAAAACTTCTTCCTTCTCTTTATCTCCATTTCTTGTTTATGTTTTACTAAATTGCTTTTATTTCATAACAACATGTCTTGTTCATGTTTTACTAAGTTATTTTTATTTCATAACACGTTATCAGCACGATACTCTAACCAATTGAGATTATGTGCTTTAATCGAATTTTATCTTCTTTCAACTAGAGGTAGTCAAATTTCTTTTCGATCCAGTAAGCTTTACTTTTAAATTCTTATGTCAGCATATGTTTGCTAATTCATGTCTAGCTTTGAGTTTACACTTATATGCAATATGACAACATGATAATCAAACCAAAAATTTTAATCTGCATATATGTGTGACACTTAGCTTCAATTATTTTTTTATGCCTACATGGTTAGAAAAGGAAAAGAATTCCTAACACTTGTGTTCCATATATATCTGATTAGAGCACTGTTGTCTTCTTATATCAAAAGTAGCTTTAATGTTTAGTAAAACTTATTTGTGGATTGAGCAGGATAAGTAGAAAATTATTTTTCACTGTTTTAATGATTCATGCCATTAAAATATAATAATAATAATAATAATAATAATAATAATAATAATAATAATAATAATAATAATAATAATAATACTCGTAACTATTTTATTTTAATAAGATAAAATATTAGTACAAGAAGTATGTACTTCACCAAATTTTTTATTTGTGATAGTTCTTATTAAATTAATACTTTGAATCATTTCTATATGGAAAGTATATAGTAGTAGATAGTAGACAGAGATTTATCCCCTAATTTTTCTTTGATTCCCTGATTAACCTAAAGGTTTTGCTATATCTCTTTATTTTTCTAGAGAGCATAATACTTAGTTTCCACAAAAATATATGGTAACTAGTAGTACTATATTATTCTATTTGATACATCATTTTTCTTTAATGTTTTGGTCATATCACTTTCATCTTGAAGTAAGCTTATTACAGCAAAGACCACATGTGAATTTTTAATATTATTTTATATTTTTATATATCTGTTTGACACTAATTACTTAGCTGATTTGAGTAAAAGAAAAGTTTATTGTTGAGAATTATATCCAAATGACATTATGAAGAGTTTAACTCAAAAGGTAAGCATTTCTTTTGTATTTGAAATTATTTTTGTCCTTTGCTATTAATGATATCAATTTCAATGAGTTCAAGTCGCAATGAACCATGAGGGTAAGATATCAGGATCAAGTCTTGATGCTCCATGATGATAAGAGTTGGGTTTGAGGCACAATTCATTATGGCCTAACTGTCTTTATATTGGCAAGATATTAGGTTTGAGTCCCACTATACCATATTGATGATATAATAATGAGTAAAGAAAAATAATATATTTTTTATGAAAAGGCATGAATATTGCCCCACTTGATTTGCTCCATTCTTGAAGTGAATGTGGTAGTGGCGCATAACAAGTCTAAATGAAGACAAGTGGTTGAATAATGAACGCGGGCGTTCCAAAAATCAAAATAATAATAATTATCACTATGATTATATAAGGAGAACAATAAGGGTTCTCAAAATAGTCCTTCAAAATGTGAAGGCAATGTTTACCATCAAATTGATATGAAAAATAATAAAGCACGGCGCTGATTATGATCCAAAAAGAATGTGACTTGTGATAAGCATTAAGAATGCAGACTCATTCCTAAAGGTGAATGTGGCAATATATGATAAAAATAATGAATAAAGACATGCAATGCATGATTAGATGAATACCACACAACTCACCTCTGAGGGAGGTTTGAGTGAAATAAAGAGAATAAATATTATTGTGTGATTACATGAATATGTCATTGGTCGCGTACATGTGATACGCCAAAAAAAAAATAAAATTGGTGTGCCTTATAATAGGTTATTAAAGGCAAAATTAAAGCTAGAAGTGATTTTGCTTATGATGATTTTAATCATGACAATTTATTAAGATATAAGTTTCTCCGTAAAGGAGACATTTATCATATGAATGGTGTGACAAAAGATCTTGTAGTACAAAAATTATTAAGAGCTTCGGAAAAATTAATTTGTTACTACCCGGATGAATAAAATTATTCACGACATTGATATTGTAAAGTCTCAAAAGAAACTTTTTGAGTTTCAAATGTATAAGTCAAAGTGGTTGGCATTTTGAGACTATAAATGAATGAAATATTGAATATCTTCATATTTCTATAATCATAACGGGCAAATATGAAAGATTACCTGATTTTTTTTCTATTTGTACTACACAAATATAAGCATGATGATGGAATCATATGTCACAAGTAAACTAGAGGTTTACTGAAATAAATATTAGTTGGCATGACCGGTTGACCATCTCGGTTCAATTATGATGCGAAAAATTAATTGAGAATTACATTGGCATATATTGAAGAAATATAAGATTCTTCAAGAATTTTTCTGTGTTGCTTATTTTCATGAAATACCAGTTAAGGTTTGGATTGAATCCCTTGATTTTTGGAACGAATAAAAGGTGATAAATATATGGGTCCAGTCACCTTCCACGTGGACCGTTTACTATTATATGATTTTAATAAATGTATTTATTCTATGGACACATGTGCATTTGTTATTAACTTACAGTTTGGCTTTTGCAATATTGATTGCTCAAATTATTAGAGCACGATTCCAGAATATAAATTATGATAATTTATCTTGATAATACTGATTTAAATCCAAGTTAGTTTAGCAGAAATTGTATGCCTCCAATTATATCTAAACCATTGGTTATGAAAATAAAATTGCCAAAATAAAATTTGGTACGTGATGTATTATTTAATATACAACAACACTTATACGCATCTAGCCAAGTTATGATAAGTTCTCCCTATCACAATCGGTTCAGGGTCAGGAACCAAATAATTTCTATCTAGAAATATGAATGTGCTATATGATTTAATTATTCTACCACAATACACAAAGATGGATCCCCAAATAAGGCTAGGGATATGTGTTGGTGATACCAACAATAGGGGGAGAAAATGGGCAGCTGAAAAAGTAATGCATGTAATGAATTATTATGAGTACATCTAGATCCTCGTACGACAAAATGTGAACTTGAAGTTCAAGTGATAATTCATTTGTAAAATCTTGTCAGGCGTATTTGCTGACTCAAAACTAAATATCATATTCAGCTGCTAATGCTCCAAATAAAATAAAGTTCATAATGAATAGAGTCTATGGCATGCATAAAGCATAATAGACTAATCGGTTCCAAAGATAAAACTCCTTGAAGAAGGAGAGGAGCAAATGTTCAAGATGGTCATAATAAGGAGGCAAGTGCTCTAGAAGAGCACCACGACATAACACTTCATAAGACCTCATGGGAGAGGCTCAGGTACCTGAAAATAATAAGATAAAGAGATCTCAATAAGTTATGTCTTTATTGGGTAATAGTAGAACCGATATAAAATGATCGTCGACGATATTGTTAATATAATGTAGCGCTCAATATTATTAATATTGACGAGGATCTTGAGCTCAAATCTGTCATGAAATTTGGACAGATAAATGATTGGCCAAATGAAAAATACGCAATGAAAATTGATTTCACCTAAAAAATATGAAGTTGGACGGATAGTCCCAACACCTGAAAGTATAAAGACAGTGGAGGTATAAATGTGTTCTTGTGCGAAAAAAAAAGGGTCAAGTCGATAGACATAAAGACGACTTGTGTCACAAGAAGATTTGTAAATATCCTGACATTGATTATATAGAGACATGTTCTCTTGTGGTGGATGTCGCCATTTCAGGTTTTAATCTGGCAATACAAGAAAAACGTGATATGCGTATAATGGAAATCATTGAAGGATTTAAATTGTTCTGAAGCATATTAAGNTCTGGCAATACAAGAAAAACGTGATATGCGTATAATGGAAATCATTTAAGAATTTAAATTGTTTTGAAGCATATTAAGGTTTCCAAGAAATTTATTAAATAAAGCTTCAAAAATTCTTATATGGATTGAAACAATCAGGGCGCATTATGTATATCGCCTGAGTGAGTACCTGTTAAAAGAAGGGTACAAGAATGATTCAATTTGTCCTTGCATCTTTATAAAAAGATCTTGATCTAAATTTGTTATAATCACCGTGTATGTTGATGATTTAAATATCATTGGAACTCCTAGGGAGTTTCCTAAAGCAGTAGA